ATTTGTCTGGTGGCATTCCTGAAAGCATTGGAGAATGCATAAGCTTGGAGTACCTTTTACTGCAAGAGAATTCCTTTCATGGAATCATTCCCACCTCTTTGACTTCACTCAAAGGTCTACAAATATTAGACATGTCAGGAAATCAGTTGATTGGATCAATTCCAAAGGATCTTCAAAATATTCCTTTCTTGGAATACTTCAATGTATCTTTTAACATGTTAGAGGGTGAAGTACCAACAGGAGGTGTCTTTCGAAATGTTAGTCAATTAATCCTGGTTGGAAACAATAAGCTTTGTGGGGGTGTTTCAGAGCTGCATCTACCACCATGCATTATGAAAGGTGAGAAACTTGCCAAGCACCTGAATTTCATGTTCATAGCAATGATGATAGTTAGTGTGGTTGCTTTTCTTCTCATTCTGCCATTTATTCTTTCTATCTACTTGATGAGGCAGAGAAATAAGAAAAAATCACCATCACATTTGCCAATAATTGACCAATTGGGTAAGGTTTCATACCAAAACCTACACCATGGAACTAGTGGGTTCTCAATTAAAAACTTGATAGGATCTGGAAATTTTGGCTCTGTATACAAAGGGACTATTGAGATAGAAGGAAACAATGTTGTTGCCATAAAGGTCCTAAACCTTCAAAAGAAAGGAGCCCAAAAGAGTTTCATTGCGGAATGTAATGCATTAAAAAATATTAGGCACAGAAACTTGGTTAGGATTTTAACATGTTGTTCTAGCATAGATCACAAGGGCCAAGAATTCAAAGCTCTAGTTTTTGAATACATGACAAATGGAAGCTTAGAAAGATGGTTGCATCCACCGACAAAAATGGCAAATCAACCTGTTGGGTCATTGAACTTTGATCAAAGATTAAATATTATCATTGATGTTGCTTCTGCATTTCATTATCTTCACTATGAATGTGAGCATGTTATCATTCATTGTGATTTGAAGCCAAGCAATGTTCTTCTTGATGACTACATGGTAGCTCATGTGACTGACTTTGGTTTATCTAGAATACTCTCATCTATTTCAATTCCTCCAAAACAAACTAGCACTATTGAAATAAAAGGGACAATTGGTTATACTCCTCCAGGTATACTAGTTAAGTTGTGCAATATTTTAAGTTTAAGCTTTTATTTTTTGGACATTATTTAATTTTTTGATTATTACTTTAGATACTAATCAATATGCATTATGCTTCAGAATATGGAATGGGATTAGAGGTGTCTATAGAAGGCGACGTGTACAGCTTTGGAATTCTTGTTTTGGAAATGCTAACTGGAATAAGTCCCACAGATGAAATGTTTGAAGATGGTCTTAATCTCCATAACTACGTCAAAATTTCAATTCCAAATAACCTTTCCCAAATTGTGGACTTGACTATTCTTCCTAGGGAATTAAATCAGGTTGCTAATTACCAAAACCTGACCTCGATGCATCCTAACATAGAGAAATGTTTACTTTCCCTTTTCAGGATTGCACTTGCTTGTTCAATGGAGTCACCAAAAGAAAGAATGAATATGGTTGATGTCACTAGAGAGCTTAATATGATCAAAAACTCATTTTTTTTCATGAATGGTGAATAGAGGTTGGCTACATGACAACCACAAAATACAAAATGTAAATGCATAATTATACACTACCATATTGTTACCAACTAATGCGGGAAGATGTTTTCTATCTTTTCCTTTTTCTGCCATGTCATTTTTTTAATGTTTCTGTGTATAGTTTTTTTTTTAATGCATGTGAGCATGGAGAGAATGATACAATGAATACAAAATACAAAATGGAAATAATAGTAATGAGTCTAATGACCAAAAAAAAGGAAAGAAGGTGCAGCAGCTATTATGAGTATGATACAAAGTTTCTTTCTCCTTTGGCCTCTTTCACTTTCCATTTCTTCTCCCAACACAGTACATACCCTCTAGCTTCATTGCAGCAAGAAACCAACCACTATTCAACAAGGCACAGAACTCTCAGAAGAGTTGGCACTGCAAAGATAGCCTTATCCCTGTCTAAAAGGAATAGATTAACACTCACACATGTTATAGTACTCATTATTTTTCATCATCTCATTCTCACATATTGATACTCCCAGCCTTCACAATTCCTTCATCACTATATTCTAGAGTAACAACAGACCAAGTTCGACTTTCTTTCTTAATCTCGTGTTTTCATCCAAATCTCAACTAGCTGTCAAATGTGAACTAGCTTCTTTTCCTTTCTCTATGACTGCATTATACATATCATGTTCCCTGCCTCAGGCTAGCAATAACCATTTTTTCCTTTATAATAATATCATAATAATAACAAAGAAAATTGAGATAAAATGATAATGAATCAATCCAGGAGAAGAATTGAAATGATTATGACTAAGTATTATTTGAAGTTGAGCTAAGGGTAGCAAATTAGTAATGTAATGCATGACCGTAAACTTTAGTCTCATAATGCTTTGCTTGGCACTCAGTCAAGTCATGGGTCCAATTGGAGCTAAAATGGGATTCGGGCCATATTTAGGTCCACCAGAGTAGCATTTAAAAGTGGGCTCTCTAGAATTAGAACAAAAAGCACAGAAGAAATTTTTTTTTTCTTATTTGTTTGGTAGGGCATTCAGATAGGATTTTTATTTTGGGCACCAAAATTTTTTCGGCTCTTTTAGGGGTGCTAGCGGGGAATATAAATGAATGCAAAATAAATAATAATAATAATAATATATAAACATAATAAATAAAAATTTATATTTTAAATTTATAATAAACAATTTATACTATAACTTAAGATTATTTTTAACAATTGATAATTTATTTCAAAATTTTAAAATTTGATTTATAAATAAATTATTGGAGAAGTAACACTTCATGTCTCAACATACTTATTTAAATAAATAAAAATAATAAGATAAAAAGGAAAGTTACATGAGTAATAAGTAATGAGTGTGAGTATGTATAGAGATAACTCTTGATTTGAAAGAATGGATGAAAGTGAGATAAAAAGTTACCGAAATAAAAGAGAGAAAAATAATAAAAAATAGATATTTGCAATGTAATTTGAAAGTTGAATGATCTCTATAAAATAGAGATAAGAAATAGTTGAGGAGAAAAATATCTCTTTATTTATTTATTAGTAGAAAAGGAGGCATTTGTGTCTCAATATATTATTTTTGAAATAAGATAATTGTTAAATTTAAGGGTAATAGTATTCAATACAAAAAATGAAATCAAAAGGGTGATTACTAAAATCTATCCTTGCAGCAGAAGCATGACTTCATTCGTGTGGTGGCAACGGAAGCGCGACCTCTTTCACGCGGTGGTAGTGCGAAGGTGTGGGCTCCTTCGCGCGGTGGCAGCAGAAGCATGATTTCATTCGTGCAGTGACAGTGGAGGTGCAACCTCCTTCTTTGCGCAGTAGCAACGGAGGCGTGAGCTCCTCTTCCTCGGCGCCACCGGCCTCATGTCCCTCCTTTGCCACTACGCCCCCTCCCTGTTATCCGTGACGTTCAACTAATTTATAAAATACAAAAATTTTCTTTTTCAAGTTATAAGTAAGAAATCTGAATCCTTGATTATTATATTATTAAATCCAACAATTAAAAATAATACTTCATCCATATATCACGTTTTATACTGCTTCATATTTGTTAAAATTTTCGTTGATTTTATTCAATTGTAAAAGACACGTAACATATATTCTTAATGAAATTTCTAAAGGACACCAATAAACATATATAATACTTTTATATGAAATTTCTAGTTCACTAATTCAGTATAATTCTTCACCCGTGAATCACTTTAATTTCGAAAACATGTTACATCAATACAATCATATCGTGGTAAAAAAAAAAAAAAAAGCCTTGGACCACTATCGGTCTTGTCGTCTCGGATCACCACCAATGATAAGTGCAGGATACTTATCCTCACTAACATTTTATATATACATATTTTTTAATAAAAAATAATATATTTTAAAAAATAAAAGTTATATTCTAATAAAATAAACATATATGTTTAAATTATCGTATGTATAAAATATAAATTCGGAGAAGATGTTCATTTATTTGATGTCTGTTAAACTTTTGAAAGAAATTA